TAATAATAATAATTAAAAATATATTTAGGGAGTATATGGTCTACAGAGTTAAGTTCCTCTGGAAAAGAAAATGAATGCTTTTGGAGTGGAGCAGATTCCTAAAACAATCATTGATATTTGCACAAGAAAAATGGCAGTAAATTGGAACGAGGGGAAAAGGGTCTGTTTGCACGTCACTGACCGTTCCCGGGGGTCACTGGCCACTGGTGAGCACATCTCACTTTTGTCCTCTGAAACTCTAATAGGTGCTTCTGTGTGTGTACGAATCAAAGCATTTGATTTTAATCATGTTTTTATGTGCTTTCTTGCACCGCTACATGATAAGAAGTCAGGTACAATTAAACCAAATCCATCATGGATTATTTAGCACTTTTTTGAGTTGCATTAAGAGGCTTTTTTTGGTTAAAGCGTTAGCATTACTCTCTTTTTGCTAATTTAACTAGTGTTTTACTAAGATGAAAACACACATGCAGCGTTTTGATTTCTTTACAATCGAAGGGCCGTCAGAGGCTCCCCGAGGTTGGGGTCAGCTGGTGAGACCCGGGGGCGCCCGTGTCTCCCCTTTGCCTCTGTGCCCGCCAGGCCATTTGCAGCCGCTCCCGCGGCCGGTCCCTCTGAGTCCCAGGAGACTGGGGATGGAGCCTCTGCAGAGCCCCAGCGTCCTTGTGGCTAACGCTTCAACCACGTGCACTGCAGTTCACGCCATGAGCCAGGCTGTGGGCTTCACGCATGACAGGGACAGTCCACTGAGATTCAGAAACCCGCTTCCACAGCAGAGAAGACCTGAGTCTGGGCCGCACACCAGCCCCGCCCCACCTCGTTTCTAAAGACGGCCGGTCCCCCCAAGCCCGGAGCACCCCTCAGGCTCGGGAGTGACACGCGGATCATGTGAACGTGGCACCGGGTTTAGAGGCCCCGAAACTACCCGGGCTCTGCATGATGTAACCTGCCAGGGGATCCAGAATGGGAGACCAGCGTTCACCAGTGGGACTCTGCATACTTTGTCATTTTTCAGTGAACTGAAAAGACTCTTTTTTTAAGGATCTTGAGTATTCTATGACATTTTTACTGATCAATAAAAACATCCTAAAACCATAAAGGTAGACGAGGAAATTTTTTTCTCCATTGTCTGGACTCTAATTTAGAGAAGAAAAGTCTGGAAGAAGGACAATAGTTTAGAGGACCTGTTTTGCGTCATCCCATCTGTCTGTCCTGTTAGTTGACGTGAACGGAGGCGACTGTCTCCTAAACATAGGCTGTGTGGCTGTGATGAGTGCAGCAGGTGTCCGGAGGCCCTAAGCTGTCTCCCCGGAGCCCCGGGTCGGTCTGTTGTACGCCTACCCCCTTCCCAGCTCTCCCTGCCTTGTTTTCATGCGTGCGTGCCTTTTCACAAAAGGCCCGTTTGTTTGGGCTGATTACCAAGTTCCATTATCTTGTGTGAATACCTTTTGGAATTGTTTTTGCCGTGATTCATTCCAGTGGAACGAACAAACCTTCAACCACTGCCCCCTTCCCCACCGGGTCGGTCACAGGGACTGAAATGACAGCTTTCAGCAAGACTGGCTCAATCCCAAAAAGGAAGGAAGGGAATGGGCACAGAGTGCCGGAAGAGGGCTCATGAGCAAGGAGGTGAGCCCGGGGAGGAGGGCAGCCCACGCTCCGGAGGCCACATCAGGCCTCGTGGGGTTTCCCGTCACACTGAGCCCCGCTGCCAAAGCACTTGATGCATGCAGAGAACTCTCCATTACTCTGGCTTATGTAGGTGTTTGCAGTTTAGCTGCCATTCCTGCTTCTTTGACCACAAGCATCTCATGAGAGCACGAGCCGGGACGTGGAGAAGCAGCACCCTGCAATCTCTCCAGGCCTTATGTGGTTTGGCCTCTCCAGGAAAGAAAAAAATCAGTAGGGAGAAGATTGACATAAAAAGCCAATATGATATTTGAGAATACTTACAAATAGGTTTCATTTCTCTTATGCCTCTTTCTGCCTTCTTTTTGCCATAAGTAACGGAGAGTTTTCTGTACGTGGTTGAAAATGCTACTCCTAGTAAGTTTGTAAACACGTTCAGATCAAGGATTGAGCAGCCATGTGCTCTGGGGTCGGAAGAGAGACAAAAGTGTCAGTCAGGCCCACTAACCGATGGATGGGACCATCATTGGCCGGGACCGCTGAGGACCAGCACTGCCATGGGAGAACCTTCGGCCCACGTGATCCACCCTGTCAGCCCGTCCTGCAGACACCGGGTTTCCTAAAATCTGAAGACACAACATACAGTCATAAGTCTCGCCAGCCTTGGGAAACAAGAGAATTAAGTTAGCCAAATCAATTCAACTTAGAAGCAGAAGCTCTAAAGGCAACTAAACTTAGCTTTTAACTGAAAGGTTAGCTGAATAACCTGGAAGAGAAAAAGGCTGCTCACCCCAGCCACCCTGTCTTCCACACCAGAGTTGTTTCTTGACACACCGAGGGGAGTGGGGGCAAGAAGGGTCTCCTTGGGAGGCAATGTTTTCTGCGGCTCCTGCTGCCAAAGCCAAATTCTTGGAACCAGAGTGAGAGGGGCTCAAACCCAGCTGGTCACCTCTAAGCACAGAGGACCCTCAGCTAGTCTCAGGACAGCCTGCCCTCCCGCAGCGCTCACGGACATGGGGGGGTGGTCTGCACTTCCCAAATCCCGCCTGGGCACGGTTGTGTGTGAGGTTACTGGAAACTCAAAGACAGACGTTTCTGTGCGTTACCAGCTTTGAAACTCACGGCAACATCTTGGCCCTAATCCGAAGACACCAATCAATTTTCAGGGTTGACTCGGAAGGATCTCCTTTACAGATGGGTTTGCTTCTAATTTGCACTAACGGTCAGAATCATACAAGAGAATCACAGCAAAACCTCCAGCTCACTGGTAAGTAGTTGGAGTCGGAAAGTTCTCAGGGGCGCAGGGAATGAACGGTGGTCAGAGAGTCCCAGTGATTAGACGGCTTGTTACAGGTGGGGGACAGGGTGTGGGCCGCAGGTGGCCCGTGACTCAGCGGGGGTCCGGGTCGGCGCCCTCGTGTGGACAGACCACGACTGCGCGGGCTCAGACCCAAGGCCTGGCGCCCCCAGCGGCTCACCTGTGCTTTCATGGAAAAGTTCAGCATGGCGGGAGCAAATGTTCTGGAAAGGGGACACAATATAGAGATGAATGAAGCCTTGAATGAAGCCCTACTCTGGACAACCTACTAACAAGCCTGGAACACAAGGCAGGGGGATGCATCTAGAGCTGATGATGGAAAATTCATTCTGAAAACCGCCCCCCTGGAAAGAAAGGGGAAGGGAAAAAAAACTACTTTGGAAACAATATGTAAAAATGGATGTCTTCAATAATTGCTCCTCCTTGTTTTTTTCCAGTTATGAATGAAGACCAAACACACCAGCAACCCAAACCCACAGCCATAGTGAGAAAACACCCTTGACGGTGCAGGTGGTGGTCCTAACAGGTCCCCGGGGGCTCGCTTTGAAAAGATACGTGTTGCCAAACTTTTGGATTATCATAGTTCAGCTAACCCTTAATTAAAATTTAGATTCAGTTGTCCTTTAATTAAAGCAGCCACAATTGTCGCTGATTCTGAGGGGTGGGGGTCAGTATTCTAAAGCAAAGTAAAGGGGTCGTCAGCATGGTCAAAGATCAGGAAGCAATGGGACTTAAATCAAAATGCATGGAAATGAAAGACAGCCAGCAGAGAGGCTCCCCAGGGATGGACACCAACAGGAAAAAAAACCAGGGCAAAGAATGAAAATGGATTGGTTTGGCAAGCAGATGTGAGAAGGGAGTTGACTGCACACACCACAGGGCCTTCTGCCACCCGGGGCGGAGCCTCTGGGACAGTGGCCCTACTGTCGGGCATGTTTATGCTTTTCTTCCAGACATCCCGCGGGCCTTGGTGCCCTGGGGGCTCCTCCCAGTCATACTTCCTGGGGGCGGATCTCTCTGGGCTCGGGTGGGCGTCATGGCTCCTGAGGACGTCGCTGGGGTCCACTTGCTCCCCAAAGTCCTCCTCGATGCTGCTCTGCCGGGTCAGTGTCCGCCGTCGGGCCAGCAGCGGCCGCAGGCTTCTCCTACAGGGACAGTGCCCGGGGCCCGGGCTGCACCTGGTCGTGCTCCTGAAGCTGAAACACAGCTCCTCCTCACTCCCACAGTCCAGGCCACTGTCCGGGCTCCTGCTGGCCGTGCGGCCGGACCAACAGCCTCTGTCCTGCAGAGCGAAGTCTTCCACACGGGGGCCGACCGCCAGGCCCCGGGGCTCAGCTGGGAGCCAGGAGGCCTGCGGGGCCTCGTCCCCACCGCGGGCCCGGGCCCGCGCCCAGTACCCTAAGCCCTGTTTGTGCAAGAGCTCGAGGTGCTCTCCCTCCTCGGCTACTTCAGGGATACTGAACAGCCTCGAACTATGCTGGGTCTGGTGGGGGTGCTCAGGCCGCTCCAGGAAGGCCCCCTCGGTGCTGCTACTCTGAGAGCACTCCTTAAGGGGGTGGTGTGTTAACCCGGGGTGTGACCAAAGTGACATGGGGGGAGGAAAGAAAATAGACAGAATTAGTCTCAGAGGCCGTGAGGGGCAGCAAGCATGCGTGTACTCGTGGGGGCGAAAGGCATGCTCTGGCCGGGCTCTGAAATGAGAACACAAGGTTAACGGATGGTGCCTGGTGCGGGGCAGGGGGCAGGCGCGCCGGGCCACGGTCCTAGCCTGGAGCAGGCAGCGCGCCCAGCGCAGGGCAGGCGTGCGG